ATTGAAAGAGGTTGCATTCTAATCTAATTACCATGTTTCAACTTGTGAATTTATTATCTAGAAAAATTAAGTTGGATCGACATAATTGAGTTACCGGTTACAAAATTGATGCAATAAGGTAGCCAGGGATGGGTTAAATGCAGAGGCAAATTTCTCCAATGTGAGATCAATAAAAAGAAAAGTTTTATTATGCCTCAATGAATTTATCCCAGATACATCTGTCTATGTGATGCTATTTACTTACTTATTCTCCAACAAAACCTTTACAGAATTGCTAAAATGATAAAAAGATCCAACTGCATGAGAGGGAAGTTTGTTTTTCCAAAGCTGACTTTGAAGAAAGTTGGTATCTGTAAATTTATGTGTGGCTGAACCAAAAAGGACAGCAAATTCTTTTTTATTTGATTTAAAAAAAAAGAAATATGAATTTAAATGTAGATTCACTATATCTTCCCTTTTACCATCACACAGATATGGAAGAATGAATTGACATAAACCCTGAGGAGTTTATCTCCTGTGGCTTCCCTGAGCGTATATAACACTGTCTGTGTCTGAGCTTCATTAATGATGCTCCTGTCCAACATGACAGACTCTGCAGCAGCTGCAGCAGGAGTTCCTCTGGCTGTGGACTTCAGCAGCCCTGAGCACTACCTCATCTTCATCTTTCAGATCTTATTTGCCACTACAACAGTCCTGGTAGCAGGGACGGTGGTGATCGGGATCTCAGCAACCAGAGCGCTCCGCCTTCAGAATCGCTTCATTTTCATGCTAAACACCAGCATCTGTGACACTTTGGTGGGCTTCTCTGTGTATTATCTGGGCCTGTTTGATGTTCAGGAGGGCTATCCATCCAGAAACTGGACATATAACGCGTTACCATCACTGTTAGGGATCAACATACTGACTTTTCTGTTTGCTCAGTTTGACAGGTATTTTGCTGTGTGTTATCCATTTGTCTACAGTCGTTTTATAACAAGGCAGGTTGTAATAGGACTGAATATTTACTGCTGGGTGTACAATGCCGCCCACCTGCTGGCGAGGAACATGCTGCCAGTCTCCAAAGCAATGCAGCTTTATGTTTTCAGCATTGTCTTCTTACAGCTTATAGTGGTCACCAAAGTGGTCATGACCATCAAACTTTATGTCATAGCTAAGTATCAGCTGGAGAGGGACCCCCCAGGTCCTGACAGAGAGAGCAAGAAGGAGTCACTGAAGATCATTATTTTCGTTGTGATAAGCTTCTTGGCGCTGTGGTGCCCCTCTTTTGTGAATATTACCATCAAATTTTTCACAGGAGGGGGGCTGGTATTCAGAAACGAGGCCACAAACCTTTTCGCTATCTTGGCCCGTTTGAACGCCGTGTGCACTCCCTCTGTTTACATCTGGGGGAGCCCAGCTCTGCGGAAGGCCTCGGTGAGGACAGTGTGGGGGCGGGTGTGCCCTCGATGCCAGAGGAAAGTGGGTCATGAAAAATAAATGGATCTTTATTTGATTTAATTTCATGTCATCATTTTTTAGGACAGGTCTTTGCAATAGGAAGCAATTAATAAGCATTGTTGATAAAAAATTAATTTGATTAAAAATGATGACAGGTTTTTCTCATTAAAGCTCTGATTCATTTGTCCAAACGCGGCTCTGACTGAAAGCAAATCCTAAGGTTAACAGAGACTTTGGTAGGCTTAAAAGTATAAAACCAGTTTAATTTTTCTTTAATTTAAGTTTGAATCTTTGTCTATTCAGTGCAATGATGGGCCCACATATCAAAAGACATAAGCACGCTCAGAAAAAGTATTGTTTTACCTAATGCTTACTCATTTTTCTAACTGAGTTGGACAAAATGCATAATTTCAATAACTGAGAGAACATTTTAAAAAGGCTGAGGATGGAATAACCTATGGTTAACTTGATTTCAATTGTGCTTGAATTAATGACAAAAATGTCTATAGGTCTATTTTTAAAATGAGCTCGCATTTTACAAAAAGTTATTATAAGTGTTCAAAAGTCCACACATTCCTTCTTCATTATTATTTTATTTTAACTTTGCATTGTTTTAATGACCTCTTCTAATAATGAAGTTTCCATCTTTTTATATGACAACCAAATGTCAGAGCTTTTTAAAAAGTTGTGCCTGATTAAAATCCCTCCAGCTTGATTATATAAAAGTAACCCTGTTAAGCTTTCATTGCAGTCGCATTTGTCTGCTAATATAAAGCATCTCTGGCTGGTTATCTCTCTCATGTAGAGAGAAAATGTAAAAGAAAAAGATGATTAAAACAATATAAGGAATCAAATTTTTCATTGCAAAAACACTTAACAGAAGATGCAATAAAGTAAAAATATTTGTAAACGGTGTATAATATATGCTGGTGAAGATTCTCAGTCATCCAGGTCATAGTCATTCCAAAAAAGTAACAAAACAATCCACCGGACTCTGTTCTAAGTTTTAAGATGTTTTATTTTCCATCCAGAAAGCTTTTTCAATTCAGAATGTGTATAATATAACAGAATGAAGACGTTATAGTAAATAAAACAAAACTTTAAATGTTTAGCCAGTCATTAAGTAAAAAACATTTAAACTGGTTTCATCCCTAATAAAAGAAGCACAATGACACTCGTGTTAGTCTCTCACATTTTTTTTTTATTGTGCTCAAAACCCTTGAACCTTTTTTACACTGAAAAAAATAATGCAACTGCTTTTGGCATTTCCTTAATCACATTTAACAATTGTGTTAAAGTAACTAAATATTATTAATTTAATGCAAAAAAAATGGTTGCATTATTTTTTCAGTGTGTCATTACAGCTACACCATTTTTATCTTAGTGTAAAGACCAGTACAAATGGGTGCCTAATTGTGGAGTAGGTGTTTTACAAACAGAAAAAGGGTGACATGCATCCGTGTTCAGTCGTCATAACGAAATGCTTTGAAAAAAATCACCTTTCCTCCTTTTTAGCTATGCACATACAGACTGACATGTTTTTATTATTCTTTGCTAAATCTCTCAGTCTAAAACAGGTTGGAGAAAGAACATCTATTAGCAACTATGCCACTGATTCTCGATTATATAATGTGGTATTTGGTTTGGCTATTCTAACATTGTAATATGCTATAAAACAAACCATTCCATTATATATCTGTTTGTATGAATGTTTCTTATCTTTGAATATTAATTTCCATCCCAGCGTCAAGACTTTTAAGAACTGTAAACTGTTTATTTTCTACTTTCTGGTACCTATAACTACATATCTTTCTATAAACTCTGACCAGCATCCAGTCCTTGAAGAGAAGCATCCCCAAAGCATTATGCTGCCACTACAACACCTCTCTCTGGGAATGTGTGTTCAGGGTTATATGCAATCTTATCTCCCCCAACATTTCTCTGTCTTTTAACAACTACTTTGTTTTTACATTGTTGTTTGTTCATACATTTTCCACCTACTTTGTGGATCTCTGTTCATAGTTTCTTCAGAGTTACCATAGGCCTCTTGGCTGGTTCTGTGATTACTGTTTTATAAACTGTTTCATATGTCTCCACACTTCTCTCCATAACCCGCTGCATGTCTGAGATGAAATTGCAAATTTAGGCTACTTTCTTGTAAGATGAACTCTGAGATTGTAGCACTGGATTTGTATTTGAGTAAAGGCGGATGAATCCACATGCACACCACACTTTAAATAAAGAATAAAATGCAACTGGTTGTTGCATGATTAAATGTGACAAAGTTCAAGTTCAATGAAAACTTTTGCCACTGGGGCTGAAGAGTAACCAACAAAAAACCTCTCTGAGGGTTATCTCCTGTGGCTTCCCTGAGCGTATATAACACTGTCTGTGTCTGAGCTTCATTAATGATGCTCCTGTCCAACATGACAGACTCTGCAGCAGCTGCAGCAGGAGTTCCTCTGGCTGTGGACTTCAGCAGCCCTGAGCACTACCTCATCTTCATCTTTCAGATCTTATTTGCCACTACAACAGTCCTGGTAGCAGGGACGGTGGTGATCGGGATCTCAGCAACCAGAGCGCTCCGCCTTCAGAATCGCTTCATTTTCATGCTGAACACCAGCATCTGTGACACTTTGGTGGGCTTCTCTGTGTATTATCTGGGCCTGTTTGATGTTCAGGAGAGCTATCCATCCAGAAACGGGACATTCGGCATTTTAAGGGATCTCTTAGGGATCAACATACTGATTTTTCTGTTTGCTCAGTTTGACAGGTATTTTGCTGTGTGTTATCCATTTGTCTACAGTCGTTTTATAACAAGGAAGGTTGTAATAGGACTGAATATTTACTGCTGGGTGTACAATGCCGCCCACCTGCTGGCGAGGAACATGCTGCCAGTCTCCAAAGCAATGCAGCTTTATGTTTTCAGCATTGTCTTCTTACAGCTCATAGTGGTCACCAAGGTGGTCATGACCATCAAACTTTATGTCATAGCTAAGTATCAGCTGGAGAGGGACCCCCCAGGTCCTGACAGAGAGAGCAAGAAGGAGTCACTGAAGATCATTATTTTCGTTGTAATAAGCTTCTTGGCGCTGTGGTGCCCCTCTTTCGTGAATATTACCATCAAATTTTTCACAGGAGGGGGGCTGGTATTCAGAAATGAGGCCACGAACCTTTTTGCCATCTTGGCCCGTTTGAACTCGGTATGCACCCCCACCGTGTACATCTGGGGGAGCCCAGCTCTGCGGAAGGCCACGATGAGGACAGTGTGGGGGCGGGTGTGCCCTCGATGCAGCAGGAGGTACGGTATGAAGAAAAAAACTAAAATTAAACCATTAGACTACATAGCAAAACTTCTATAATTATGCTGAATAAACCAATTAAAATTGGCATGCACTAATAGCCTTATCCATATTTATGAAACAAAACTGAACAGAAATAACATTCACTCTGTTCTTCAGTGCAGAGAAATAGCTTCAGCCTAAATTTAATATAGATTTAGTTTTGATCATAATTGTTCTTAAACTCTGATTTGTTTTTACTCATATTTTGTTTTTTTATTTTGTTTTCTCCAGAGTTGGTTCCTGTCCAAAGGCAGATCCTGGAAAGGTGATGAGATAATCCAATTTTTTTTTACAATGTGAGGCAACCAGTCGAACACCAACCCAAAGGCAATAACCAAAGAAATTTCTTCAAGTTTTGGTCTTTTTAAAAAAGTTAATGTTTTTTTTTTTTTTTTTCAGAAACCCAGTTAAACAAACATATAGGTTGATGATTGCTTTTATACAGTCTAATATTCTCAAACCTTTATTTTAGTTTATAGTGTGAATTTTTCCAAACAGCTGAGTGCATCTGTGTTTGATGCATATATTTGTCAAGTTTCATGTCTGGTTCACAGATGATTCTTTTTTACTCCCAGTCTTATCTTTCTTGTTGAAATACTTGTTAGGATGTTTAATCAAGGTATTTTTGTTGATGAGAAAATCATGATGGTATTGAAAAATATGTATCTCTATTGCTATTATTTACATCTGGCTTTATTTATATTTACGACTAAGGGGATAAGAACAAATCATTTGTTTGGAAATTCTATGTATTTCAGCCAAATTATCTATAGAAAAATAGAAAAACTTAACTTCCTGTAGCAGATACTTCTCATAATATAATGAAATAAAAACATCCCTCTTTCAAATTTAGATGAGCTTTTTGCTAAATAATAATGCTACTATAAGAATTAAAATGTTAATCAAAAATATTAATGTATGAGAACCCTTCTGCAAATAATTCTATTTTGTTTGTCTATTTACTTTGTATTTTTCAGTTATAAGGCTGCACATCTGATATCTATCATGTCATACCACATCAATTAACATGTTTTGTGGAAAAGGACTTAAATAGTTAATTGTATAAAACGTATTATAAAAGCAAACGTATCTACAAAATAGTTTTTCTGATGTTTTCCTTCATTCAAAACCTAAAAAAACTTTCATAGCTGTAATCGAAGTGATAAAATGCTTGTCATTAGAGGATAACAAATAACAGCGAAAAGATTTGTTATGACAAAATTATGAGTTATGATTAGAAAAATTGTATATTTGTATTATATATAGAATATAACATGTATGTATAATGTAAATAATATAAACAATTTTTAGATTATCCAGTTTTAGAGAAGAAAAACAAGACATTTATGATTGGAATGTTACTTCAGACAATAAAGAAGAAACCCTGCTGAAACAGAACCCTGGGCATAAAGTAAAAAGTATGTTTATGAGGTTTGTTAGTCAGATATAATTAGTTGAAAATGGCTGTAAATAAGCAATACAGACAAGAAAATCTGTTCAAAATGTCTCCCTAAAATGTAGATTAAATCAAATGGCGAGAATGAAATGACTTCAAGTTTACATTTGTTTTCAATTACATTTCAAAGATTTCATCAAGATGTAACACCAAGAATATTGCTGCTCAGTATTTTGTAGGAGGTTTATCCGGTTTAAACCTCAGACAGTGACTAAAACTATTTCAGTGTCCTGGAAAAACTGTCAGCCAAATGACCTTTATTTGCTCCAATGAATTTAGAATGCAGGACTGCTTATCTGAAATTCCATCACTACAGAAACAAATTACTAATACAAGAGAAAATACAACTCATAATTTCTCTCTAGATTAAGCTGGGTGGTGTCCATGGTGAGAATGATGTAATGCATTTTACATAGACTTCACACAAACTAAACCAAATGTTCAGCTTAACATGTCCAGCTATCAGGCGCCCGCATGTGTGCCCCAACCCCAGACCTGGATCCAGGGTGGGGCCAGGGCTGTGCCATACCGGGCTACATCACGGTCCATGATTTAACTCTCTCCATAAGGGTTTTCTGAGCTGCTCTTATTCTCACCCATCACCTAGAAACTTTTCGCCATGGGAGACCCTACCAGGGGCATAATGCCCTGGGCAACATAGCTCCTAGGATCATTCGGGCACTCAAACAACCCCACCTCGTTAAGGTGGCAGCTCGCAGGGTTATATAAGGATAACATCTATTTGGTATTGTTATATGATCAATGCTTTATGCTCAACATGTTAAAGCTTAGAATACTAGTTGGATTGAAAAAACTAGGACACCTCTTAAATGAATTCATGAATTCTCTTTTCTTTTTAATGTAATTACACTACAACTCAAAACACAATAAACCAATAAATACAGTTTCCAGCAGAGGAAAAATTAAAGACACCTTAATTCCTACTATGTGTTACAAATGTTTCCTCTTTGAATACCTACCGTAAAAGTTAAACCTATGCACCTCTATTTCTGATTTAAAATCGCTGAGCTTTCATATTAACACTAGCAAGGAGCATGCTGTAGTTTACAGGACTGCATTTGGCATCTCAAAGTTTTCTTTTAAGTCAAAATTGCGTAAATGGCCCAGACCTGGGCATGTAGGGAGTCATTTTTAATGTCCTCCGATTGAAGACCTTAAATGTAACAGTATAGACTCAACTATGATTCATTCTGAGAGATGGATCCCAGTAACACACTTCCACATAACAGTTAGAATCCGTTGCAGGTTTAAGGTGCCTCATTACAAAGATTATTCCAACAGTTATAAATTCTGAGTGTTTTTTGCAACCACAAAAATAAAATTTGAAGTATATCTGAGTTCTTGTTGAAAGCATGTTTTTTGCTGCCTGGATGAAATGCAGCCTACTTCCTCTTCAGATTGGTCTTGAAAAGAAATGAGATTGGTTTACCAAAAAAAATCAAAAGCACTGTGATCTAATAATAGTAATAAAAATAAAAGCAATGCACAATACCAACAACAGTATCAGTAATGTTAGTAATATATTAATATTGATGTTATTGTTATAAATATGGTAGTAGGATTTTTCAACAAAGCTGTTTTATGCCACAACTATAGGGGGAAGTTTTTTGTTTGGATCATTATACTAGAGTTTCCCAGCTTGTCTCAATCCTTCCCTGTTTTCAAAGTCTATACATTTTTCTGGTATTCTGAAAGCAGTTAACATCAATGTGATCTATAATTGGTCAAATCAATCAGTATTTTTATGTAGTAAGTTTGACCTCTGAACCATCCATCCATCCCTTTTCTATCACGCTTATCCCTGTTGGGGTGGTGAGGGGTGCTGGTGCCTATCTCCAACTTTCTACTGGCAAGAGGCGAGATACACCCTGGACAGGTCGCCAGTCCATCACAGGGCAACACAGAGACAAACAGGACACACAACGGTTCACACACACACTCACACCTAAGGAGAATTTGGAGAAGCCAGTTAACCTAACAGTCATGTTTTTGGACTGTGGGAGGAAGCCGGAGTACCTGGAGAGAACCCACGCATGCTCAGGGAGAACCTCTGAACCTGTATCATTTATTATTGTGCACTACAAAATTTGTTCATCCATTTTCAAAAGCAGTGCGTGTTTTATTGCTCTGCATGATTCTGTAAAAAAAAAGAGCTTCATCTGGCAGGATTTTGACTTTTCTAGCTTTTTTAGTTCTTCTTTGCCCAATTTTCTCCTTATAGAGGTCCTAGCACTAGGTTGGCAGTTCATATATTGTTTTTCATTTGCATCAGCGTGATTTCCTCACCTGTATTCAGGTAACAACAAATTAGGTATTGAAATGATAGAATGAAAACTGAAAATGATACCTGTCTGCTATAATAAAAAAAGCATGAGTTTAAATTCCTAGAAACAGATTTTTGAACAGCATGTAATCATTAATGATATGAGTGACTCATAAGAAAATGTTTAGAGTGATTTTTGGACAACATTTGAAGGCATGTTGTACCGTGTTGACAAAGTGGGGGATTTACTAAATGCATATTTGTTATGAATATTTTTCTCAGAATCTATTATACAAAAATTATTTGATGGGTTTCTCTGTAAATGAGAGTAAAGCTGTGAAACAGAATTGTATTTATTGGTGTGTTAATGTTTATCTATATGCATTTTCTGGAAAAATATGGAAATCAAAATTAGGATTTAAGACCTAAAATGAATAAAAAATGATGGTAAGACTTAAAATTCAAATCCCCAGAAAGCTTCCATCCAATCTGTCTAACTACGGACAATGTGGCAACATTAAAGAAGTGCCAACATCTATATAAGGATTTATATAAATACTTATTAAATTAGTGATGTTTATTTCTGAGTCTCGGACTGTGCTTCTGTTTGAGATATTAACAAAATCTATTTTGTTAGTGTTCGGACATTTTTCCCCACAAGCAGGTCTGTACAGCAAAACCAACATGATTCTAACACGTTATTGACCTTTGAATATATATATAGGGTTTCGCTTAGAATTAGTCAAAAGGGAATTTCTGTGCCTGTCAAGCAGCCCTCTTATGCACGCATGACACAGGCGACACATAAATGAAGAAGGAACATATATGAGGAAGGAAGCAGCCAGCTCTTTTAATAATTATTTGCTTTGAACTGTGCAAAACCACACAAATACACAGAACCACCAACACACATACAGAAATAGCTGGGTCAAGAAACAGACATTGTGACGCCAGACGCTGAGGCAGACTCCTCCAACTGAGATGTATGTTTAGAGTTACCCAGATACTTCTCGTTATTTTGAAGTCAGTTAACCCTCACAAAGAAATACAAAATTGCACATTCTGGATGAGCGTTATGCAAAATAAAATAAATATTTTAGTTTATTTACATATTTATGGGGGGAAGGAGCCTGAGCTTGTGAAAGAGGTGGACCAATACTGGCTAGAAACAGTACAGCTGGGCTCCACACATACAGTAGCCTGGGCTCTGGAACCAAAAACAGTGTCACATGCTTGTCAGGAGGCCAAGCAGTCTTGGAGGTGGGACCCAAATCGGTTAAAAGAAAGACATGCACCAAAGAGTTTTCAACTGACAAGTCTTTAACTTTTTTCTGGTGCAGCACATCAACCAAGCCACACTAACCCAGAACAATGGCAGACATGTTTCTTATATTGAGGTGGAACTTAGTTGGAAGAAACCTTTATAAAAAGGGATATACAGCTGCAAAACAACAAGGAAAAAAAAATTGTTTTAAATGAACAGCTAATTAAGAAATATATTTACCAATCAATACAAAAAACCTATTTTAATTTAACCAAAACAAATACTCAAAACTTACATAGAAGACACTATACATGAGACCAAACTACTTCCCTGATCGAGGTGACATTTAAGGTGACAGCGCTCAACAAGGCAAAGCTATACACTTAAACAAGATTGAAGGGAAAAGATTTCAGTGCAGCTTGGTGGAAAACAAAAGGATTAGCAGGGGAGTCATTGGAGAAGTGCCTCTAAAAGTAACTGACAAAGAGATTCTTGAAAATATAAGTGGTGCAAAAGTAAAAGAAGTGAAATGGTTAAAAACAGTACGAAATGGAGAAAGGTGTGACAGCTGATCAGTACTGATCAAATTTGAAGAAGAGCAGCTAACAAGGGAAGTTTTCCTTGGATATATGAGCTATAATGTCAAAATATACAATCCTCCCCCTCTGATTTAAATGCCATAAATCTGGTCACATAGCAGCTGTATGTAAG